CTAAGGGGATATTCTTTAATCTTTTTTGAAGGATTTCATAATTGTTTAGTGCTATTTCTTTCTTTTGAAAAAAGAAATTTAAATCTAAATTGGGGAAATTTAGCACTAAAAGCCCAAGAATACAAATTTAACAAATTGTAAATATTTTTCTTGAAATTATTTTAAATTCCTAAAATTTAATAAAAAAATTAATTGTTAAATTTTGTTTAGTTTCAGACTCAGTATCCGCATCCTATGTTAACTTTATAAACGATTAAATAACAGTTTCAGTGATTCGTTGTTTCTTATTCTTTCTTTTTACTTAAGTAAAAAGAGACCAGAAATCTATGTTTAAAAATAATAAAAAATGCTAGACTATAACAGAATTAAGCATGTTTAAACAATGCAACAGAAACTATGTATGTGGAATTGGGAAAAAATGCTAAAATGTTTTTTTATTTAATTTTAATAAAATTTTTTAAAATTTATTTTCTTAATCATATATTATTTGCAAACATTTTTTCTAAGGAAGTAACTGCTTATCAGTTCAAACTGAATTAATAAGCAATTGTATGTAATACCACATGCTCAAATGAGGCTGATATGGATTTTTTTAACTGGGGTTCAGGCAACTAAATCAGAGGCTATAATTGTCATTTACTTGTTTTCTATTAATTTTACATAAATTTACTTAATAATGTTTTTAAATTACATTTATGTCCAATTTAAAATGATGTTGCAAGTGCAACTTTAAATAAATGTCACTCCCGCAAAACAGGAACTTATCAACGCTTAATAATTTTAATTAAAATAATTAATATTTCTTTTTGTTTCTGTCATTCAAAGTACAGGGTGTTCCAAAATTATCTTTACAACTTCAAAAATTCATAACTTCGAACATAAACAAGGTATTTATATTCTNTGTTTTTAAATTACATTTCTGTCCAATTTAAAATGATGTTGCAAGTGCAACTTTAAATAAATGTCACTCCCGCAAAACAGGAACTTATCAACGCTTAATAATTTCAATTAAAATAATTAATATTTCTTTTTGTTTCTGTCATTCAAAGTATATTAATAAACTATTTTTGAATACAAAGCATCAAAACTTACGCTTAAAAAATTTTTCTGTGGAGAAGTAAATATAACTTTTGTTACTGAGGGACAATAAAGATCAAAGTAAAATGATTTTACCTTTTGTAACGAAGATTAGTGAACACTATTCTGCGAGGAAAAACTCTCAATAATAGCTGTCAGATTATATATATATAAGTTTAGAGATTTGCAGAAACACTTACTCAGCAATACGAGATCATGAAACATAAATATTTTTGGGTCAATCTTTTCACACATAGTATCACTTCATAAATTAAAATAAGGAAGTTTATTATAAAAGCTTTATTCTTACTTCTTAAAATATTAAATAGTATACTCTTTTACAGTTAATATTTAAACTTTCAAATATATTTAAGGAAGTTAAGGTTTTCATACTCATATATACTATTTTGTGGATACAGCATAATCGGAATCTAGCTCGTCTTCAGCATAAAATTGTACAAGTTATAGCAGAGAGGGCTAATCTGTCAATCTCATGACCTACAGAACCGAGGTTTCAGTCCTAGCGTTGACACCGCAATACTTCCTTTTTTTTTTCTCTTCCCCGCATGAGGAATTTCCAGTGTCCTGAACTTCCAAAATTATAACCTTGCATTTTTAGAATGTGATGCTCTCACTCACGTATAGATTGCAGCACTTTAAGGCTGCTTAACACAAAAAAGCGCAAAAAAGTATCTCTTACGATAGGTAAAACAACTAGACAAACTAGTTTAAACCACACTCCACGGTTCATTAACTAAAACGCAACTCAACCAGAACCTAACTTTATGTCCATTACCTAATGAAAAGCCTAGCTTCAATGTTCAGGTAAATCTCTTTTTTAATGGTGTTGAAACCATGTTAGTTATAAACGGTTTCAAAACTGTAAAGGTAAAAAGATTTTCGTTACCGTAAACTTTACAGTTAATTGGATGGACAGACAGCTGCCGGTTTTTTCACCGCAATTTTAGAAAAAAAAATTCTAATAGTATACCTCGATTGCGCTGAAATTGGTTTTGTTTTCCAACGGACATAGTTCTGAGTTACACTTAATAGTAAAAAAAATGGATCTACCTTATTAGTCTGTAGTTGTTTTCGGACAAAGATTTACTTATGAGATATAAATACTTATTTCTCATATTTTGTAATTACCGGGATAAATTGCTTAAAAGTGTCATTAATTCTAAATAACACGTATTTACAGAAAAAAGTGTCAGGAATTCTATATAACAACGTATTTACCAAGAAAAAAAATGTCAGGATTTCTATATAGCGCATATTTACCAAGAAAAAAAGTGCCCGAAATTCTATGCAACACGTAGGTACTAAGAGAAGAATGTCAGGAATTTTATATAACTCGTATTTACCAAGAAAAAAATGACAGTAATTCTATATAACACGTATTTACCAAGACAGAAGAGGAATGTGTACACGCGAAGCGGTGAGTTCGTGAATACAAACCACCTGGTTTCCACAGGCGACTAGTAGCAAATTTTTTTTCTGCATCCTCAATTGATTTTTTTTTAATAATATAATTACCATTGATTATTGAGCCACTGTAAGTAAAACATATTACTGTATCACTCAAGTAAAACGACTTTGTTACTTGTAAAATTGCTTGGATAACGCATTTTTTCTCATGAGGATATTACTTTCTTATTCAAAAATTCTAAAGAAGGTTTTACTTTATATGGTATTTCAAAATAAAAAAATCTTGATTATTAATAAATTAGTTTAAAAAGGGAAGAAGCCATTTTAATTTTCCTTAAAAAAAAACTCGTTAAAAACTTTAAGTTTTAAATTCATTCAATTTCATGTAAATAATTTTAGTCATTTTTAGGTGGCAGGATCTCCCTAACTATTTAAAACAATTTTTTTTTGTTAGAGAAGATGTTTTCTTTACATTCTTGCGATTTTTCTTAATTTTGATTAGAGAAAAACAAGACGGTAATGTTATCCACTTTTTCAATGATAACCGAGTATGCTTTATTTCACACAAAAGAAAAAAAGCTTTTATTATAAAAAAATATTTTCCCCTACCTCACAAAAATATCAACAAAAAAAATACGAATCATAGATATTTTTTTTAAATTTGATACTAAAACTTCAAACTGCGAAAAAGCGAAGAAGAATTATTAGCGAAAAAGAAGAATCAAAAACTTATTCTTAATATTTTTGTTATATGATTAATGTATTTACCTCCAGATTCCATACGTTAAAATCCCGCGATGAATAACGGATAGATTTATGCCGGCTTTAATTTCATATCATGTTTTATATTTTGACTATTTCATTTTCAAAACTTAGATAAATAGCAATCAATAAACTATAAATAATATAAATCGAATCAAAACTTGAAGTAAAATTGCATTTTGAAACATGTTTAGAATTTTCGAAAAACCTTAAGTACGTTTATGGAAATTTTACAGCGGCCTAGGCCTATAGGCCCATTCGCCGAATGCAGTGGAACCACAATTTTTAATTTGACAGCAATTATATAGAAATAAAAGGTTAAAAATTTTACAGTAACAGCGATGGCAACAAGCCTCGAAAACATTGAAACACATCAGAAAAAAGGTCAATAGACCCTTATAATTTTACATATCGTTCAACAATTTAACATGAAAACAAATTAAAACAATATTGATCGTGCTTGGTGTTGTACCGTTCAGGCCAACAGACCCTTATATTAACGAAATGTTTGTAACATCACGAACTCATTTTTACTTACTAGATACTACAGTTGAATAAAGGTATCAATAGGATCGAATTGAGAGCTAGAGCTAGTTGCTGGGTAAAAGGAAATAGTTAAGAATNAGTATAATTTGAAAAACACTGTTATTCTTAGTTCTACGTTACTCTACGTAACCTTAATTCTAAACACTTCTTGATTCTAGTGCAAAGTAGATGTAACTTATCATTATTTGGCCTTTAGCCTTTCTTATATAGAGGTGCTTATTGCTTATAATCTTTACCAAATCGTTAATAATCTTAAAAATTAAGTAATACTCTAAGTTAGTCTATTTTTTAGTAACTATACAGTATAAAGTTAATGAAAAAATTAGCTGTAGTGAAACACAAGTCAGATTTTTTTTAATCAATTCATTTGTTAACTCAAACTTTAGATTGTTTTGAATATTTTTGAATTCTCTTTTGAGTTCGAATCACTAAAGGCCACTTCTAAATATAAAAATAATTTCAAACTTTATTTGTTTTTTAAAAAAAGTATGTGAAAAAAAAAAAGAATTTAGAATAGTCATACATATTTCAAAACTTTTCAATCTGTAAAAATAAATTGTATTTCTGTTTAATATCATACATTTTTTCAGAAGCAGTTTCTTTGTTTTTTCTTGCCACCTAAATCTGCGTTATTAAAGAAATGCATTCGAAAATCGAAATTTTTAATTTTAAATTTAAAAGGTATGCTCTTATTGTACTTTAAAATCCTCCAGTAAAACTAAACAAATTTAAAATAAAAAAGTACACATTTTATTCCTGCGTTAGTTGTATAAAAATATTTGGTTCTTACGAAAAAACCCCATCGACCATTTTCACCAAATTCAAAAACTATCAAATCATTGCGTTAGCGCCAAAGTTGGATTACCACGCATCAATACTTCAGTATTGTGAAAAAATTGGCAAATTCATTCACATAAGACAATAAGAAAATCTACTTATCTTCTGAAAATTTTTCATTATTTTATCTATTTGACGAATAAATTTGAACGTGGTTCAAATTTAAATATTTTCTCCTTTTTGCAAGCGTAAAGTTATGTTTCTTTTTTGTCTATTTCTTTATAATCAATAAATGTTTTAGAAGAAATTTAGAATTCGCCTTGACGCTGCGAGAAAATAGCCGACGGAATAATACGTGAGTACCAAATTTTTAAAATTGAAAATTCTTATTTGTAAAAGATTAGTTTATGTTCAATATATAGAAGCACATTCTGTTTCAAATTTATTTATTTGAATTTACATCTTCAAAAATTCAAACATTTAAAACTTTTGAAAAACTATACATTTTAATATTATCATAAATGTGAGCAGGTAACTAATTTCGATTCTTCCACTGATTAATCCAGCAGCACTGTGAGCATCATCACCTAAAATTAATGATAAAATTAGTATAACAATTGAGCACTGGAGCATTGAGGAAAAAAATTTAAAACATTTGGGAGATTTCGCATATTTACTTTAGCTCCCATGCGTAAGATTTCAAGTAATTGCGCATGCATCAATTCTGGTGAAATGCGCATGCGCCCGTGAAAAAATAATAAACTTTCGTAAAACAAAATTAGAGATTTCGCCAAAAATCCCAATGTTAAAAACTCGAATGTAGTGGAATATCGTTTTAACTTTGACTTAAAAATCAAAACAAACATTTACAATGAATGTAAGCGATCTCTTCGTTCAACCAATTGCTATAATATAAAATGATTCATTTCTAAATTTCGTCAATATATTTCTTCAAACTCGAATTCCATGTCTATGTTTTAAGTTCTAAGGTAAGCTTAAACAGAAAACAATATTTAACAGCTATAAGTAGTGTGCTTGTAGCTTTGTCTTTGTAGCGTTAAACTCACCAACATAACGAAAATATACATAGCATCTTAAATGAACGAGAGCATGTGCAATTGCTTCTAACCTTAAGTAAGGAAGCATACGGAAGCTAAAGTAAAAGCGCAAAATCTCCCTAATAATCAAACTTCTTAGTTGTCTTAGCAACAAAGAACCTACAAGGAAACTGCTCTGTGTATAACTCAACAAATTGACAATTTTTTTCCTTACAAATAGTTTCTGGGTTATAAAATAATATATAAAATTTCTTTTGCCTGTTTTAAAGTAATTATCAGGTAATAAACCAATAAAAAATAAATTTTTTACTTTGAATAAGTCGTCAAGTTCTATTCATCCGCATACGAAGTACTATATTCACTGTTTAGTTTTGCTTTGAGTATTGTTAAATGTTGTTTCAATTAAAGACATTTTCATCTCAATCAGTAACTTCGAATCCCAATTAGAGTTGTTATCGCATATACGTGATGACGGGATTCTCAAATCTTAGTCCAGGGTATCATATATGCGACTAGCCTTTCCGATTCCAGCAGGCCATATTCACGCGATATCAATTTGGAACGCTTTATTTCAATTTTTAAACAACAATAGATAGTGGTTAGTAGTCCATTACAGTTTCTAATATTGTCTCTCAGAAGGTTCCGAGCTTTTATTAATTTTTATATATTTATTTACTTCTTTTCACTGACCTAGAGTCTGTATTTTGTATGGTTTGAGTTAGTTTTGTAGTTGCTTTTTTTAAATATCGCCATTATTTTATTACAGTATATTCAGGGTATTATTAATGATAATAAACTGTACATTTCAGCTTATTTAATTGCAGTAATGGCTTTATGTAAAAAACATTTTTAATGAAATTATGCTTAATGATGATTCCCTATAATCTGTTTCCTTTTCTCTCTCTGAGTTTTTTTTTCTTCTCCTTTTACTCTTAAATAGCTGTGATAAACTCTGACAGTTCCCTTTAATATCATTTTGGAACCCAAGAAGTAGTGATGAATACCTATAAATATTTAACACTATTGAAATTGTAACATAAGATAACCTAACAAAATGAATTGTTATAGAGAACTATAGTACTGCCAGTTTAGATCGAGAAATTCCCGAGCTTATTCGATTTCCAAACAAGAAAAATGGATGTATATGTTACTGTAAATGTGAATAGTCAGTTATTATTAATATTAACCGCTCAATATTAATAAGAATTAATAAGCCGGTAAAAGGGAATAATTTAAGAGAATTTATCACAGTAACCGGTTATTACTAATGATAACTAAAGAAGTTTAGTCAATGTCATTCCTTCGCATTTTCATTGGGGATGTTTCCATAACGTGATCTGCCACACCAACTACAATTGCCAAGGCGCCAAATTGATTTCAAACAGGAAAAATAAAAACATAACATTAATTTGCGCTGGGATGGCCCTTCGAGTTGGTCCCTTTCTGTGATTTTATTTAGTCTGTCGTAGGCAGCTGCCCGGAAGATGCCAAGACTTGGAGATTATTCCGCCACAGATCACGATACGAAAATTTCCCCCTTTTATCTCTCGCTTAGACCAAAAGAAGTGGTTATTATTAACTTTGACCGGTTAGTTTCAATGGTAACCGGATTTATTACTTTATCCGTAACATATTGATTAACAATGATATTCACTATGTTTTAACTGAAATCATGCCTATCACTATGTCACTATGTTTTAACTGGAATCATGGATCTATTAAAAGTTGCCTTCAACGAGCCAGCTTGATATTCATATTATCTTAATTATCCGCAAAAGAAAAATAGAGATTTTAAAAAAAACTTTTGAAGCTCCATTCACGAAATTATTGAAAGCAAAAATATCGTCTTACACTGCAAAAAAACTCGGTAAATCTTTAACCATTATTTGGTGCAAAATTTCTCATTAGCTCGAAGTACAGTTGAATGAATGATCACTTTATTTCAGTTACACCATAAATTTTGTAGTATGATTGAGAAATATTTCCATGGTGCAACTATCTGCACCAAATTGTGTAAAAGTCATAGAACGTCGACTTTGACTGTAAACTGAACGATATTTGTTTACGACGCCATGCTTTCTTTACAACTCGATCTCGGTGTATCGGGGAGACTCATGCATCCTGTTTCAAGTATCGAATTATTTAAGTAAATAAATATTTTATGTGCATTAATTTAAGTTCAGTTATTTTATGTTGCCTTTTTCAAATTTGGTTGACGGTATAAAATCGTTAGAGGCATAATAGTTTTGTTATAGTAAATAGCATCCTTGGCCAGCATTTGAGCGCCTTAAAAATACCTAGTAATTATGCAACCTTTCGATGCTTTTATGAAAGAAAAAAAAGGAAAGAGTGAAAATAAGTGTTTTGTTCAAAACTCCTACTTTTGGTGGAACCTCCTACTGATAGTTGGAGCAAGTAAACATACCAAAATATAATAAAATTGGGCCCCATTTCATGCAACAAATGAATGCTAATTTTTGGTGGAACGTGACTCTGAATTTTTAACAATGTAAAAAATTACCTGCACGTTGTCTGAGTTTGTTAGCGAAATTTCTTCCAACAGATCCAATATCTTTAGGTGAATCTATTCCTTGCGATTTTAAGAAATTAGCGGATCCTTTCGCTAAAGCACGCACTGGGGCCTTAGGATTCGAATAGTCCTCTGATTCCTCAGCCTTCTGTAATTGATTGGTATAATCATCGATCAAGTCCTGCGCATTGTCATCATTTAGAAGACCCTTTTGTTTCGCACTCTGCTCAAAAGCATCAGAAATAGTACGGAAGTAGTCCAGAGCGGACATATTCTCCTGGTAGGCTTTCTTCGCTGCATTTGCTATATCTTCAGCTAATTTTTCAGGATTTTCAGCTCCAGTTTCTTTTCCAAAATTCAATGCGTTGTTATAATAGACATCAGGAACATCTTTGATCGAGAGTTGGACTACGAAAATCTTTTCGTATACTTGCTTCACCACCGTAACTTTTAGAAAGTATAGTCCAAAGGGGGTGAGTTCTGCCAGAAACTCAGTCGTAGCAGACGTTTTTTCAATTATTACCTCCTTTTCTGACTCAGTCACCTCAATGTCGGCAGATACGCCGACAAAGAGCAACAGCGAAGTGAATAACACAGCCTGCGTGATAATGCGTATTTCACCCATTTTGTATGTGTTGAAGAAACATTATTGAAGTCCTTATATAGCTGATATTATTTATTCGAGTTAAGAAAAATAGTTGCGTCAAAAATTGAATATTATTTACTTTTCATGGGTCTTAAAAGGTGTTTAAACACACACATCTCACGTGAAAAACAAATGGATTATTATTTAAGGTGAAAAATCACACGTCAACATTATACAGAGAATATAATGCATTTCTTTTATTATATTAGAGATAGACAACACATGCCAAGTAACAGGTGTTTTGCAACTATTTAAGAATTGGAGAAGTACCTAAATCAATATTTTATAATCAAAATTATTATTACTTACCAGTACCTAAATCAATATTTAGGTATATTACAAGTTACTTATTGAAAATTGTGATTCAATTATGTTATAAAACAAAATCATTTTTTTTTCAGTTTTCTAATTAATGGTTTAAATATTTTAAATTAATTATGTGATTGATTCAGCAATTTATTAAAACAAAATGTCATAGAAAACTTAGTCATTAAAATTGCCGTTTGAAAATGTAAATTTCTTTTTTTTTTTTTTTTNTTTTTTAATTTTTTTTTTTTTTTTTTTTTTTGCATTTCATTTAAAGATAAATATTAATAATCTGATCGTTTCTGACGAATATACAAGATTCAATTATCGCTATCAGTGATTCACCTTTTAGAGATTTAACTTAAGATTTTGTAGTTTAGAGTCCCGCAGTGAGCAAGTCAAGCATCACTGGCTACTGTCAGTAAGCTAGTGAGTGACAGTAAGGTTGAGTAGGCGCCGAGGGTGTGCGGTTTTGATCCTTGTTAAACTGTGTACCGTAAGGTGCTCGACTTCGAGCGCAGGTCTTCGGGCCACCAGAGCAGGGGAGCCATTCCTCCTGCAAAGGATCAAAATTCGATGGTATGTCTTCGGATCATCCTCAGAGATGTTTCCCGGACCGTCACCAATAGCCCAATAGTCTAGTTCTAGTGTGACATAAATAAAGTACCTATCTTCTTACCTGTAGTTCAAATGTTTAAATAAGTTTCATTATTAAATTTAACAATTTGGTATTAAATTTAACATACTTATAAAGCTACACCCATGTGTAACAAAAACTTAGAGTCGTCAAAAAAAAAAAAAAAAAAAAAACGAAAACTCGTAATATTCTTCAATTTAATCTTCAGATTTTTAAGAGCTAAATTTGAATTTAAATTGCTTGAGAATCTACAATTCCAAAAACCACACACAAAATGCGCCAACTAATGAACTCTAAACATTAATTAAAATTACTAGATGACACACAAAAATTTGTTTTGGCTAAATAAATATATCTATCTCCAGTGGAATCAAATTCTTTAGTCTGGTACCAGAAATGGTTGTGGTATT